AGAAACCAGCTCGAGTGCGCTGGAATTTGAAAGTACGCAGCTGAAAAAAATCTGCCCCTTCCCTTCAGAGCCCCTCCTCCAACACACACAAACGCGCACATGACCAATGAGGGCACGAGATAAGTTTGTGCACAGATGGAAGGCTGACAGGCAGGTAGGCCATCCAGTTACTTTAGCCGGGCCGGCTAAAATGATTGGTCGTGCTTTTTACAGTACCACGGCTTCCACAGATGACGTTTTTAAGTATTTATTGTCAAAGCATTTAATATATTCATTGCTATCGGGATGTTAAGAGCATTCCATGGAATATAACAACAAGTGTTTCTGAAGTGAATTACCTACCCTACCTTTAATGTCCATCTGTCTTTTTCGCTATATCTTATAGCTATAGCTAAACATTTTCATATGTTTTTGCCTCCTGAATCTGGAAATGTATTCATATTCTCTGCACGTTAAGTGGCCTGCTCCCAAACTATATAATCTGCAGTCGACTAAAGAGAAGTGTAATCGTACAAAATCAGAATGAATGATGGGACTTTTAAAGAGTATTTGGTAGTCTTGGCAGGTACAATCCTCCAGCCTATTTAAAAGGAGCCTGAATAATGAGAATGTCCTTGAGATATATGTAGATAGGGCTTTTGAATCTTGTGGGGTTTTGTTCTGTTTCATGTTGGACTTGGATCAGTCCCTGGCAGGGAAAAGCAGCTGGGAGATGGCCAGTCTGGAGATGGAGGTCAACTCTCCGCGGTTCCCCGTGCTCGACCTGATCCAGGGTCAGCAGTACCTCTTCAGAGTGCGCTCCATCAACAGGCACGGTGTCAGCGACCCCTCGGAGCCCAGCGCACCCATCTCCTTGGGAAAACAAGAAGGTGAGAAATGTGCTCGTGCTTTAACTCTGCAGCTTGTAGAGGTCGATGGCATCTTGTAGGAGTACTCGACTGAATGAACTGCACTGTTTGTGTACAGTTTTATTATTATTATTATGCTGCTGTGTTTATTGTATTTTGTAACTCTGGCACAACAATTTCCTTTGGGATAAATAAAGTCTTAACTTATCTTATCTTACTGTAGTGGTGCACAAATAGATGATCATGACAGCTTGTGTTCACCCCGGGCTTTTTGAGATTGGTTTACTTCCTGTCAGATCATTTGTCTGGTTGTGTTAGGTGCTACATTTGCAGTTATTCATTAGGAATGCAAAATAATAATGAGAAGTGTAGATACAGGGAGGGGACTATGGTGAGTTTTGGAGCCTGTCACTCAATTGAGCATGGAACAAGTTTTAGTACTTATAGTGTAGTAGTTTACTAATGCAACAATACTATTTTACAATACTATGTGACTGATGCAGAGGTATATTCTCTAGAAAATCTGTTTAACATTATATTATTATTATTATTTAACATCCATGTAGTGTGTCAACTTGAGTTGATTGAATAAGGTCTTTTATTAACCTTTTCATTTTGATGATTAATGTAATAATTTCTGAGGATTTGCTTATAAATCAATATCTGTTAAGTCACTATCTATCGCCGAATAAGGAAACACAATGGTTGTTGGTCAAAGACAATGAAAGGACAGACAAATTGTTCTGTACTTTGTTTAATGTGCTGAAAGTGCCATGTCTGCAAAAAAACAAATGAAAAGATTTTGAAAAAAAAGGACAATGAAAGCGAGATCTTTGAGAGTGTAACTACATTTTACCTGATGTCCTGTCCTCTGACCCGCTCAGCGGTGCCGGCTGCTCCTCACTCTGTGATGGCCGTCAGAGACACGGACACCTCGGTGCTGCTGCAGTGGAAGGAGCCCGAAGAGAAAGACGACGTTCTGGGTTACTACCTGTACTGCAGCGAGAAAGGCAAACAGGACTGGAAGACTATCAACAACAAGCCTGTGACCAAAAACAGGTAACGGGTACATATGTAAAACATTGTTTCAGAAAGTGTGGTTGTAATATTTCTGATTGTCCACAGGAACATCCAGCAAGGTTATAACATTAAGTTTGTTGTAACGACAGCTGAAAACATATCTTTTTAGATTCGCTTTTAATTAGCGACATCCCCCTTTAATATATGTTTGTATTGTTTTAAAGTTTTTTATATTTTATTGATTTATTATTTTTGTCTTATGACACTTTTTGATGAGTGGGTTATCGATGACCTTGTGGACTATTATTCTATTTATTTTGATTATTTCTCTTGCCTACTTTACCTCCTTGTATTTCTTTAAACCTTATGTTTAATCGAGAACATTTGCTGCATGTGTGCAAATCAGGTTTGAAGCTTTTAACTGTATTGAGTTTTCTTGTTTTGTGTGCCATATTGTGAAAGCACTTAGAGCTGCACACTGTGTAGGAAAATGGCTGTACGAATAAAGATTAAGTATTATTACTATAAGTGGTGGTGACGCATGTTTACTCTGCCTGAACTTCTTCCCCTCAGATTTACAGTCCACGGCCTCAAGAACCGACAGGAATATGTGTTCAGGGTGAAGTCTGTGAGCCGGGCGGGAAACAGCAGCTACTCAGACGAGTCCCCCCCCATCCTCGTCAAAGCAGCCATATGTAAGTAAACCTTAAACGTCTCTAAACAAACGCCAAATGTATTTCCTTAAGAGTTGTAGAAGTCACATTAAAGTGAAATATGTCAGTGTTGAATATGAGTCAATGCTCTTTCTTGAAGGTTTTAAAAATATGCTTTATTCAGAATCTGTTATGATCGCGGAAAAGGTAGGACCCAAATGCAGACTACAAAAAGAGGTAAAAAGGTTGAGAAAACAAAAGCGAGCTTTATTTTTTAAAAGCTGATGGCAAATAACATAAAACACAAAGGTAGCAAAAGGAAGATACAATACCAAAAAACTGACCATGACTGACATGGAGGGAGACAGGAAAAACAATGAACCGACAAGGCACACAGGGGAAGACAAGACTAAATACAGGCCGTTTCTCAATCTCGAGAATTCTGGCTTCCAAGCCAATATTTCAAGGATGCTACGTCATCGAGTGCCGCCGAAGGACTGTTCCAATCTCCAGTATACTTGGAATTCCACCGAGGCCGCGTCCTTGGTTTGGGGGTAATTTCGAGGCTGCACATGGGTAGACTTCGCGTCCTTCAAATCCACAAAATGCTTTGCACACGGACAGATTTCAAAAACCCTTGCGGAGAATGGCTGAACCGACGCGGCACAGCACACATTAAATGTAAGTATGTAGTCTATGGTATGTAGTGGCGTAGAACATGTGTTGGTAAATATGTTACTTTGTTGCATTTCTTATCACCAAAAATGTGTTCCGTGAAAGTAAAGCAAGTTCATAATTAGATAGACATCGTGAGGTATTTATTTTCGGTACAGTTTATGTTGAAACCGTTAGAGAGAGTGGCACACTTGTTAGCCTGTTCCATTCTTCTTTGTTTTCCGAGGCCGTGGCTTGGAAGTGTACTTGCTTCGTTTCTGAAGGAAGTGACTTGGAAGTACGCGACTACCAAGCCAGCATCCTCGCGATTGAGAAACGGCCACAGAGAGGGGTAATCACAGGACAAGAAACAGCTGGGTAAGGGAGGCAGAAACACAAGGGCAACAGGTGAACACAATGAGACAATCAGACACTGGAGGAAAACAAGAGACAGGGAGAACAGAACAGCAAAACAAAACCCATTACCAGACAGACAAAACTAAAACCGTGACATAACACCAAGATCGTGACAGAATCAGAATACCTTGATTAGTCCCACAGGTATTCTGATTCTGAATAAAGCATATTTTATTTATTATTATTTTATTCTCAAAAATACTCAACGGCATACAGAAAAGAATACAGATAGAAACACGTTTTGTTCAACTTCATAAAAGAGACGACTCAACTGTGCATTTTAACATGTTAATGTTAAAGAGACGACTCAACCTTGGTCAACATCTAAATTGTATGCCTCCTGACTGAGCGAGTACATTCTAAAGCATTTTCTAAACAGGCGTATTTATCTGTGTAGTTTTCTTTCATAGCCTTTCAGGAGACTTTTCTGAGAATGTATTGTCTGAAGTTTGAAAGCGTGTAAGCTTTACAAAATACTTTCAACTTTTACCCTCGACATGTTTGCAGCTTTTCAGGTCAAATAGAATATCAATGTGTGTGTGGGCATGGGTAGCTTTGTTGTACCACTGCTACATTCTTGAAATGTTACTCTTTCACGTGTCAGTCTTCATATGTTTTGTTATGTGGCCTTCACCAGATGACTGTAGGCTGTATGAACTTCTTTTATTGTGGTGGTTTCATATTTTAGCTTTGTGGAGCCGTACTTGACGAAGAGATTCTGACCCCTCTGACTTCCTGTGGTTTAGTCTCAGATAATGTTCTCTCTGCAGCCCGTAAAGCTCTGTAATGATGACTCATTTCACTCACTACTCACTCAACAGAATACTCTCACATCACCTCTGCCACTCAGCCATTACCTGAGGGATAAATGGCTGCAGCACAACTCTTTGTGAGGCATTCATATTTCATCAAGTAGAATGAGTTTAATATTTCTTTCATTCTCATTCGGGGAGGCTCAATATGGGCCTAGAGTTATCAATTTGCAACTCTACTCGGCCAGGGAGTTATTGGCATGTTTCAGTCTATTTAGCAAGAAAACTGCCGGCTGAGGTTTTCTCTTCCATTACCTATCTTTTTTTTGGTTCTGTTTTTGTTTCTGCTTACTGCAGCGGTTCCCTCTGCTCCCTCTGCCATCGCCCTGCTGCTGTGCACCGGGTCAGAGATGGTGTTGGGATGGAGGGCCCCTGCGCGTCACGGGGGAGACCCTGTGCTCGAATACTACCTGGATCAGAGGGAGAAGGGCGGGAAAACGTGGAGAGAAGTCAACGTGAAGCCGGCCAAAAAGAGGCAGTTTAAGGTCAGAAATGCTCCAGAAGGGTGCAATTACGGTGTAGTGTGGGACTAGCAGCATGTCAGACTGCCACTCCACCACTTTGGTTCAGAGGGGAATATCTCAAAAACTGTGAGGTGGATTTCTATCATTTCTTTTACAGAAATGCATGGTGCCCAGAAGATGAACCCTAATGACTTTACTGATCCTGTCACTTTTCCTTTTAGCAACACAAACAGGTTGGGAATGAGTATTCAGATCATTTACTCAAAAACGAGTATACAAACTCTGTTACAAGGTCCCACATTCAAAAGGATACTCAAATAAGAGTGTTTAAGTATTGCAATCAAATGATAAGTATACAACCAAAAGTAAAATTACTTATTATGCAGACTATCAACATTCAGGATAATAGATAATAGGCTATTGCAATATTGTACTATAATCTATCATTTCACAGATTATGGCAGGATTAGTGTTTTGATTGCTTTGTAGCTCAATCCATAACAGTACAATATCATAAATAATTTGTTGATAATTAACGATATGACTATGTAAAGTTACTCATAACTCAAATCATCAAATAAAGTGGAGTTCATATTGTTACATACAACTGAACCACCTAAATAAAGTACAAGTAGATCATAATCGCACAAAAGTACAGTACTTAATGTAGTTATAACTTTACACCACTGCAAACGTTTTCCTGTGAAACACCTTCAGCCCAACACGATGCACAAACATGTATGAAAACAAATTATTATTAATCAACTTTTTTGATGAGAAAAAGAACCATTAAAAATCCCCTTTAGAGAATTCACTCCTCAGCTTGCTGCCAAAAAGGGCTTAAACGTTTTAATATAATTAATCATGCTGCTATAAGTTACCTCTTCATTTGGAAGTGGCCTAAAAAAACAATGGAACAATTGGCTGAAGCTCCCTCATCCACATTGGCTGTGTCACTAGGCAACAGGCAGTGTCCATGGAGACCTGGAAGAAAGTAAAATCTTGAACCTGTCTCCAGGAGATTACAGGTGCTCTGTAATTAGACATTGTGCAAATGTGTTACTGAGTGGTTGGGTTTTTTTAGCTCCTGGGGACAAACAAAGACAAAGCCAATTAGAAATAAAATGACTGTCGTACACAATGTGAAGTTCAGAGACTTGAGGATCGGAGACCCTTCTTCTCCCAGAAGGAAACCTCTGATGGGAACTTGTAGCCCCCCCTTTTGGGGAAAATGAATCATTTCAACAACTTCAAATCGTCAAAGAGCAGTCTACACCTCTCACATTAGCTGTTTTGTGCCTTTTAAATTAGGTTGCTCACCTCCTGGATTTAACATTTGATAAGTATTTAATGTTATTGATGTTTCTACAGGTTGGAGTTGTGCAGAACATTTTCATTTTGTCATGAAAGCTTTCACAAATGTGTCTGTACGGATGTCTATGATACTGGTTCCCTACAATAACACCACAAACAAATACACTATACACTGATATCAATAATGCAAAAGCACCAAAACAACCCTTTTAAAAATACCTATTTACAAGTGAAGGCCCCCTAAAAGCATTATCAAAGATCCAATTGACTGATATAATAAAATACATCATGTTTTTATATTGTTAATGCATCAAATTACTTAATACATTTAGAGGTGTAATGTAACTGGTAACCACATAGACGGATTAAACATTAAAAAGGGCCCAACAATCCAAAAATGTTGCAGACAACTGTTTATTTTATAAGCTTCACACGTTTGAATGTTAAATCCTGACCTCCAATGTAACTGTTAACTAAAGCTCTCAGATTAAAGTAGAAATTACCATATTTTCCTCTAAAAGATATTGTTTAAATTGTGCAGTAGTAGTGTAAATGTTAGTTACTTTCCATCACTGCCAACATTGAATACAAATGTTACCAGTAATGCTTTAATGTGATGTCATAATGTCAGTCAGGTCATGATTTCATTTCATGCCCGCTCATGTAACTTTATGAAAACAAAAAGTATGTTGCGCATTAATCAAATGCAGCCTGTTCGCCATCTAGTGGAGGACAACGGTACTTCCCTATTTATTTTGGCAGACAACCTTTGCATTTGTCTTGCAGGACTTACTGTAAATTGATCAGATAAAATGGTTGTCGTTCTATCTAAATATGGCTAGGGGGAGATCTATAGATAATGAAAGGTGGGGGGAAATTGTTTTTTGGATAGCGTCTGCTATAACAGTGAAATAAGCTCCCTCTGGTTGAGTCAATTAGTGGCGGGGAGAGAGCCTGCAGCAGAACAGGTTCACAACTGTTCACCGAGGCAATAAGGGCCTTAAAGTCTAAGTGGCTGTGAATAGGAAGATCGATGGACAGATCAATACGGCTGAATCCCTTCTCTTCCCAAGCCAAAGTGTCTCTGGGGCTCAACAAAAAATGCTGTGACAGCAGCAGAGCTAACACCTTGTTAAATGCCTGCTTCAGTATGGAGAGGTGTTACTGTACAAACACAGGACTTTTTACTTTTACAAAGTGCTAACTGAGCTCTGTTTTCCTCAAAACATCCACAATGCCAGAATGCATTATTTTTCTTTTATGCGTAGGGATGAGTTTTTATGCTGCATATACCTTTTTGAACAATGCTATAAAAAAGCGAGATGTTTACTGTCAATAAGAACAATTAGAAAATCACTTATAATACATGTAGTGTATAATAATAAAGACAAATTAGACAAACCATCCAGACATACTGTATACCCCAGGATTTTAACTAAACAAACTTGAAAAACATAAAAATCATTATGAAAATATCAGGGTTTGGTCAAATCATTGAAGGACGTAGGACTAGAGATGCGGGCATGGCTACACAACACCGAGTTGGACCTCTGACGTTACACGAAAAGAAGAAGAAATCATTGAAGGGAAAATTGAGATTTCATTGTTTTTACTTCATTGTAAATAGAAATGAAACTACAGACTTTGGCTTAAGTTAGATGTGAGATGTAGCACATTTAGGTTTGTCTGATCACTACCCACATTTCCCCAGAGTGAATCATGCCTGATTTATATTCTCAGGTTTGTAACCTGACGAGTGGAGACTTCTACCAGTTCCGTGTGTTTGCTGCCAACATGGCCGGCGTGGGGAAGCCGTCTGAGAGCAGCGAAGCTTTCCTCTGTGAGAAGTGGACCATGCCAGAGCCAGGTGAGGAGAAAATGTCACTTTATGTTAGTTCATACAATAAGTAGAACATGTTTAACTTAAGAAATGACTGAATAGATATCTGATCTGCATTGTAGGGCAGCAGAGTACGAACAACATTTTAAAGTTTTAAAACACATACTCTGCTATGAATAATAATTCGTATTGTAATATCATGAAATGAGTTTTTAAACAAAATAGCATTATAGTTCCAGAATATATAAATGGACATATATGGACCCCTTATACCCCATTTAAATAAATCCTTGGTTTTTGAGAAAGCAAATATTTTGAATTTTACAAGTTGAAATACTGCACACAAGAGAACTCCTGCTTCACTGACAAATCCATTCTCAGCGCAGGTGCATTGGAAGGTTTTAGTTTTCCACATCACTCTCGTGCTGGGTGCATACTTGACCAAGATGTGCTTCCATGTGCTTGTTAATGCTTGTTTTAAACAAAAGTCTTAGCTCAGAGAAACATTCCTCCTTTAGTAAATAGTTATAAAAACATATGTCTGTCCGCAGAGTGAAGGTCAAACACCCAAGTGAAGCAACCATAAGATATTCTGAGTAAGGGGGACTTTAACTTTAGAAATCAATAGTTTCCAGATAACTGATTAATTCAGAGCATTGGGTATTTAAGAGTTTATATTACCATGCTGACCTGCAGATTTTTCTAAAGGCTGTGAGTTCACAAAATAAAGGTTTATTGACTTCAGCTTGGAAAGTGAGACAAGACGATCCATCAACTGGACGAGCCATTAACACTCACTAACTGTTATTTTTTATTTTAAATCACACCCTTAAAAGTGCATATGGTCAACTCCCAACATAACAGATAAAAACAGGCCATTTGCATATTATGCCATTCAAGTGCAAAATGGAGACAGAGGTCAGCATTCAAGTGCAATCAGTAGCTGAAACAGAAGCTAAAGTGAGTTTGAGGTACTGGAATTCATTATTTGTTGAGTATGTTTTGTCCTTTAATATTGCTTTGACTGAAGAGCCCTTGAGCAAGACCCTGATCTCACTATCTGATGCTCTGAGAGGTGGCGATCAAAAACAAACATGAGCAGTAAATTAATGATTTAACCTTTAGTTAGTTTGGATGAAATTAGATTGATTGAATTGTCCATATTAATGTTAAAATATGAAATAGAAATGTGTAAAGCCTGTGTTGTATTGCTATAAAACAACGTTTAATCATGTTGAGTTTTCTTGATAGAAAATTATATATATTGTTTTATTTACATCTTTACTGCCTTTTCATTGATAAATGTTGTATTTAAGTCTCTTTATTGGAGAATATTACCGCCATATTAAGATAGAGATCACATGAAGAAGGTATTTCAAGGTATCTGAAGAAGTATTTAAAGAACTGGAGAGTTTAGGTGCGTTTTCAGGTATTCATTCCCTAAGAATCTCATATAGCAAAAAAAATCTATAAAGGAGAAGGTTAGTAAAAACTGAAGAAGACGTGAATGGAAAAAGACACATTTTTAGCAAGCCGTCATTATTTTGACTAACAGACAGAAAACAATGTGTAGATAGATTGTTAGTTACAAAATAAACCTGTAACAATACGTTTTCCTTCCCCATTGGAAATTACATAGCATTATTATTAACACACATTCTGTATAGTATACACAAACACACACACACACACACACACACACACACACACACACACACACACACACACACACACACACACACACACACACACACACACTAGGGTGCTCGATTATGGCAAAAATCATAATCTCGATTATTTGGGTCAATAATTGATATCACGATTATTAAAAACGATTATCCATTTACTTTGAAAACATCCATTTATGGAAAAGAAAAATTGGAACAGTATGTTTTTAACAATTGATTACCCTGAACTTTAAGAATAATTCAACTGAAAACCCAATAAAATAAATAGTTATAATTATGTTGTTTTCATAATCGTTGCAAGCCAAAATCGTAATTGTGATTCAAATACGATTAATTGAGCAGCCCTAACACACACACACACACACACACACACTCACTCACTCACTCACTCACTCACTCACTCACTCACTCACTCACTCACTCACTCACTCACTCACTCACTCACTCACTCACTCACTCACTCACTCACCTGCAGTGTGGTGTTTCAGGTTCCGGCCCCGCTCCTATCAGCCTCTTGTGATATTAATATAGAAAATGGAGGCTCTCTCATACATGCCACTTTTGAAGCGCAGCTCGTTAATCTCTGCAAATGGGCTTTCCTCTGTGCCATTAATAATTTAAAAGTGACCGAAAATCATTAAGAAAATTAACTACCAAGTGCCGGCAGTGAGTCTGTGGGGGTAGATTAAGAAATGTGACTGTACTCGTTTGGACTTTACTATTAGTTCTGATCTGTTTTGTTATGACTTTCCAAGAAGAAGTGTTCAGTTAGTTTCTGATATGGTCACTCAGGGAATATACTATTGTTTTATAGCTGACACACTCTGCACTTTAGGATCTCCTGCAAAAATCCCTGACCCTGTTACACTTATGACTATATTTTATTGATTATTTTATATTGGTTTAGACAAAATCAGATTAGATACAGTAAGGTTAGATAACATTTGATGTACTTTATTAATCTGAAATTGGTAAAATTATTTTTGTTTAAACTACAGCAGTTTAACTATGCATTGCATGAGTTAAAAAATAGTAGAAATATATATCTATAGACAGTCTTTAGAATACCCAAAATAAAATATAGAATTCACCATAATAGACTAACCTACTACTTATTACTGATTCAAACGAGCCGTCTTATGCTCATTTTCAGGTTTTTTATTTATATTATGTGCCTCTACTGTTAACATGCTTTAATATTCAAAAAGTGATGTAATGGGTTGGAGCACTAGCCAATAGAAGCGCGAGTGTTATATAGTGATGTCACTATGTAACGGGAGTAAATAAAGGATTACAATGGAGGCGTTTCAGTTACCAAATGATTTGCTATTCTCAAGTTTCATTGCTGCTTATCTGCCAATTGCACAATTTCCATATTCAGGAGGGGAGTGTGTGGGAGAGAAACACCCTCTCGACGGAACACAGGGATTTTAGCCTTAGCAGACCATTAAGTGCACAAAAACATACAGGAAAGGGAAAAACCCACAAAGCATAACAGGGCCCCTTTAAGGATACTTTACAATATGCAAAGTAGTTGCAATGGTTTGAAGTTCAATTGAAATGCAATGGGGTAGAGTGTGAGTACAATTTGTACTTTTTTTTTATTGAAAGGAAACACAGTGGTATTGAACAAACGACGAAAACTATGAAGCTATATCTTCTCTGGTAGCCTCCTGAGCTGAGGTGTTTTTCGAGGGTTTTTGCTGTGGATTATTTCTGCTCCTGCTCCTTGTCCAGGTTGCCCCTATGACGCGGAGGTCAAGGAGGTGAGGGCCGGATCTCTGGTGCTGCTGTGGGCCGCCCCGCTTTACCAAGGTCAGGGTCCCGTCACTGGATACTTCCTGGAAATCAGCGAGGGCGACCAATCAGACAACTGGACTACTCTGAACGAAAAGCCGATCTCTGACACACATTACAAGGTGAGTGAAGCTCGAGGAAAGAGGGATTTAGCCCACATTGCTGTTTTCTTCCAATTAGATTTATTTTGCAAGAATATAGACCACTACCGACACATAAAGTAAGAACTTCCTCAGGTGAAGCTGTACAAATAGTTTTTACAAGCTTTATGTCAAGATAACAACTTTTTAAATCAGGATGTGTCTATTATCTGATCCAGGAATGTAAAGATTTCCTGTATTGACGATAACTATAGTGTATAAATGAAATATTGATTTTATGTTATTTAAACACACATAGGATCATTTCATGAAAATAATTCAGCCTCTCTTGAATCATCTCTGTTCCTTACTGTTGTCTCCTTCCCTAACAATTCACACACACATTTGTATAATCCATTACACAAAGTTAAAGATGATTTTGACTGATAATTACAATTCATTTCTTGAGGAATCGTAATAATATTGTTATGTATTTTTCTGACATAAAAAGGTTGTATTGTTAATCTGATATTGTGACAGCCCTCATCCCTCATCTAACTCTGATCTAAGTGTATTTAATAATTGTATGAGCAATTTTATTATTGTTATAACTCTAAAAATCCAGCCTGCTCCAGTATTTCATTCCTTTCTGTATTTGTGGGTCCAAATGCTGAAATAGCCAAGATACTTTATGACAATAGTGTGTAAATATTTGATGTGTTTCTCATGACTTCCAGGTCTCAGGTCTTCAGGAGGGTCACACCTACCGTCTCCGTGTGGCGGCTGTCAATCAGGCTGGAGTCGGTCCCGCCTCCCTGCCCACCGAGCCGGTCACAGCTCACACCACAGGTCAGCCGTCATGCCTCCAGAAAAACTAATATTATAATATTTGAAAGAAATCCCCCTGCCAGGATTGTTGGAGGCTCTGGACCTTGGATATGATAATAGGAAGAGCAGCCACTCTCCAGTCTGTGGAGAAGTTATTTATTACAACAAGCTTTAAGGGACCTCTAGTATCCTCAATATACACATACAGCATGATAAGTGCCTTTTAAAGGATTAGGTTAACTCATATTAGCCTCCTAGCAGGGGGTTTAGTGGGAAGAGAGATACTCAGTCATTCTAATGTTTGTCTGTTAAATATGAAACTGGATGATGAGACAGTTAGCTTAGCTTAGCATAAAGACTGGAAACAAAGGGAAACTGAATCTGTCCAAAGACTTCTGGCTCAAGCTTCATATGCAGTGGCGACTGGTCATTAGGGCACAGCCCCACCTAGTGTCAGCAGAAAGTAATTCAAATAATAATTCCAAAAAAATGCAAATAAATGCAAAAAAAATACATCTTAAAATATATTTTAAGATCATGTTTAATCATCTGATTCGTCTGTACATTGCTGTTTTAGTCTGTGGTCTTCTAATTAGTGTCTACAGTGTGCCTATTGAGCCGTTTTGAGCGACTTGGATCAAGCCCCGATCTTTTTTCACCATCCTCCCGGAACCGTCCCGAAATACAATCTAAGCCGTCCCGAAATTAATGTGGACCGTCCCGAATTTAAAATATTAGTTTTTCTACATTATCATTAGTTAAAATCATTCAAAGTGACCTTTAACATAAATAAAACATCATACAAATCATTAGATGATAATTCATCAACCTTTTTATTTGAGTAAATCAGTCAATCACATGAACAAAGGCCACATATATTTAAACAAACACACAAACGAGAAAATTACTCTAATATTGAATCAAATCAAGTCCCATCCAATTAACAAACAAATCCAACACTCTGTCCTGAAGACAGGCACACACACAC